ATGCGAATCCTGCCATTTCTTCCGCGCCACTCAGCAGCTCAGGTTCACTACTTGGGCCCACCAGCGAGTCGCCACTGAAGACCACGGCGAATGGCAGTCCATCCATGGAGTCGGCCGGCGCCTGGCAGGAAACCACGGAGTTGGAGAGCCCGTTTTCTCAGCCAGATCCTGTCATTTCAGCTGCGCCGTCGAAGTTGCCGCCCACATCGTTGAACGGAGTCACACTCGAGAGCACGTCAATACTCTCTACCACGATTGAAGCGGACCCCGACATCGGCAATCTCCTGTCTGCGATGCAAGCAGTCACAGACGCTATTGCGTCTTCCACTGTCCAAGATCCGGACATCAACGGGCTAATGGGCTCAGTCGCATTGCCAAGCGTGACAGTTATGTCGGTCAAATCTGCATCGCATACGTCGCCACACAGAGTCTCTCCACAGGCCGATCCTTCGTCTTTATCCCAACTCGCTCACAGTACTACGGCGGGATATGAGAGCTGGACCGCGACATTGCCGCCCGCCAGTCACACGTCGGATGCAGGGGAAGTGATAGCGTCGGCCATCTTACTCGGTCTTTCTCTCTCGCCTGCCAATACTGGGCCGCTGTCGTTCTCCACAGAGACAATTGGTAGTTCATCGGATCCGTTCATCGCAAGCGCTCTGGGCACAACGACACCAATGCTCTCCTCTCATATTCGTTCTCCAGCAGCTACGATCATTGCGCAGCCCAGTACTGAGCACAGGCAGAGTGATCTCACGACCCAAAGCGTGCTGGTTGGTACCCCTTCTCAAGGCTCCTCATCTAGCCCGACTGCGAGCTCGGCCGCAGAACAAGGGTCTGGACTCGAAGGCTGGCTGGTCTGCTATCTGGGCCTGCTCTACGCCGTGGCTCAGCTTTAGTGGGCTACTATCATGACCGGCGGTACACAAAGATCCTATGACTTCGCACGTACTCACGCTTTCGAGGTCTCCACGGACGTATCGAAGTCCCTCAAGAACCTCCACCGCCCCTGCTCCTTCCACCCCTTCTGCCGCCAGCCATTGGCGGGCTTGGGATAGAAGTCTACCACATCAAGCAGGCTCCCATCATGCGCGATCATCGCAAAGACATTCTCCTGGGCATCAAACTCGGTGAACTTCTCCAGGCTCTTCATGGCGCCATCGGCATGGTCGTGGATCGCCCCATCCGGCTTCATGTACGGCTCGATCGAGCTCCGCTGCGGGTGTATAGCCTCGAAGATCGAGCCCGGACACACTGCAGCCGATCTGGCGAACGGCGCGACCAGCGGACTCGGCTGGATATCATCGGGGATCGGAAGCCACTGCGTCGGCCGGAACTCGCCGCCGTGATGCGCGATGTCGCCGCCCATGATGATGAATCCCGGCGGGTCTGCGGACGTCCGGGCCAGGCCACAGATATGCCCGGTCGCGTGGCCCGGGGAGTCAATTAGGTAGAAACTGCCGTCGCCGTAGAAGTCGAAGGCATTGTATCTGCCGAGCTTGAGGCCCTTGCCCACGGTACTGAAGTCGATTTCTCGGAGGTGACGGCCTTGCCATGCACCCTCGTCAACTGGACTGTCCGTGACAGTCGGATATGCGGGATTGAAGCGATCCTTGAAGCCAGGTCCCACGATCAGGTCAGTCGAGCCTGGAAACGTGGCTGGGTCGCCAGTATGGTCCTACTAGCTGTCAATTCATGTCCTACTGTCGGCCAGCTGTGATACTTACCCAATGATAATGCGACCAAATGATGCCGCCAACCTTCGTGGGGTCGTCGCCATTCTCACGAAGGATCTGCGCTACATCCTTCTCAACCTCGACAGTGTAGCCACTTGCCTTGACACGATCGACCACAGCCTTCGGACCTTGCTCCCAATCCTTCCGGATCCCGAGGTCGAACAGTAGATGGTCGTATTTACTGGTGGCATCGGAGTTGCTGTGCTTGATCAGGAAGCTGTAGCATGGAGCGTCGATGTACTCATAGCCGGGCACCGCCGGGTTCATGAAGAGGTGGACGGGGATATTGCCGACATGGCCGGTGGTGTTAATGATGGAGACATCGACGGTGTGTTGTGAGCGTGGGATGTTCAGTTCCGGTGGCGCGGCTGCTTGCACTGCAGGCATATCTGCAAATTGCTGGTTGTTCTGGGATCAGTTGATCGCCCGGTGCTATTGAGGTGTAACAGGTCAAGATGTAGCCATGGGACCGCTGGCTACAAGTTGTGGGAGCTGGTCTTACCATCCCCACTTCGGTAGCTCTGTTGTCCTTCGCCCATGCGGATGCTAACATCCGAGACGAGAGATAGACATATACCGATTGGTTCCTTACGATTGTCGACTCCCAGACTTTCAGATGAAGATGGCGTGATCGAGGTGCTGTGACCTGTCAGCAATTGCCACAACAATAACATAGTTCTCCGCTCGGCAGTAGTAAACATATACAATTGAGTTCTGCAAGAGACTGAGCGAGCGAATCTGTCTACAGTATCATGCCGCAGCACGTATGCTCATGGGAGGAGATACTGCCGACGGTATACCGCTCTATGAGAATTACTGCATGCCAGTCTTACAAACCAGCTCAGACCTGATATGCAATCGAGCGACTTAGACGAGCTGGCCTCCCCTGCTCGCGCAAGATGCAGCAGCACCTACCGAGGTCGTCGTCGCCGTATTCGTAATACTGTCCACCAAGTCAGCACATGAAGAACCTACCCAGAGGCGACCGACTTACGTCACCCGCTTAATCTGCGTGCTCGTCACAACAGCAATCGGCACATTCACATTGACAGTCCATGTCGACGCCGGCGCCGTGACAGTACCCCTCGTGCCCCCAGCGCCCACGGTCGCCACACCAGACGTCACCGTCGAGGTCTGCACAACCACGCTGGTAACCGTCTGCGTCCTGTTCGAAGCCGTCTGCCCGACCGTCGACGTGGCGACGGCACCAGTGACCGTGACGGTAGGCTCGTCCGGCGCACGCTTCCGCAGCACCCTGCCCATCCGCTCCCGGCGTTCGGCGACAAAGGCGCGCTTGAGCTCGGCGCTCGGCGTGCGGCCCTCGATGATGGCGCGCTTGTACTTCGCCGACGCCGTCTTCAGCTGGCTCAAGGGCGTGAGGCCGATCAAGCCTTCGGTCGCGTCCTCAACGGTGCCTGTCAGGCCGTTGATGATCCCGCCGGCGACGTCGTTGAGCTGGCCCAGGATTGTTGGGACGATCTTGGCGATGGGGTCTTGGACGCGGGTGCCTCTTGCTGTGGAGCAGGATGCTAGAGAGGATACTGTCAGCGTGCTGGCCCACACACATCATGCTACAGCTTGTGCCTTCAGACTGCAGTTCAAGAACGATTCTGCAAATGGAACGGGCCGTCTTATTGTCTGGTGGCATCGTCTTATGGGGCAGTAAAGACCGCTTGCATATTGCGATGACGAAGAAGAGGTATTGCCAGCTCGCACCAAGCCTTGAAGCATCGCAGCCAGCTTGACGGGGAAAGACCAAGGAGCATACCTAGCACAGTCTTCGTCGTAGTAGTCGCCGACACAATCCCCACGACCTGCGTGAGCGTAATCAACCCCTTCGTAACTCTGACAGTACTCGGCGCAGGCGTAATCGTCGTAGGCTGCACCAAAGCCTGTATCGTCGTCGTCCTCGAAGGCACCGTCGTGGTAGCGATGGAGGTGCTAATCTGCGTAATATTCACGACCGGCGTGATCTAGTTCGTGATCGTGGCCGTGGTCGACACCGTTGTCGTCTGCTGCGGGCCGACGGAGAGCGAGAAGTCTCGCTCATAAGCGATCGGGTCGCCGTTACCATTATTCGATATAATGAGCAGAGACCACTCTCCATTATACAGCTTGTTCTTGGGCCAGTCCGCGCAAGTGATGAGCTGCGGCATATCGTCCGGCGTCAGCGCCGAGTCGGAGCACTGGCTCTGGTCGCCGTTGGGGTCGACGAAGACGTTGTTGGCCGTGTCATTCTGGCAGCCCTCGAACTCTTGTAAAGCTGTGAACAGGTCGCTCGACAGGCTGTTCTGGAAGTAGGAGCCGCCGTTCTGGAAGTCCAGGCCGTACGAGTCGCAGGTTTGCGCGGAAGTAGAAGCAGCGAATGCCAGCAGCGCAGCGCTGGCCGGAATGATGGAAAGCATGTTCGAAGATGTATAGGTCTATTGGTCAGTAGTCTGATCAAAGCCGAAATGGATGGGCATGAGAGGTAGTAGGCAGCGCATCTTCATGTGTACCCGCGATGGCAGATCTCAAACGATTGCCACTCGCCATCAGGCCCACGATGCGACTCTGTGACGGGCTTGAGACTCTGCGTCCAGGAATACACGGAATGGTTTGACCATGGGATCCACGTGATGGTGATCGGCGGGTCGTGCGAAGTAACGCCAACCAGACCCTCCCTACATGTATACTTGTTGCAAGCTGTGAGCGCTGTGCGAACACCAGCCGGGCGGCTCTTGCGTGATGTCCGGCTTGCGCAAGGTATGCTGCGGTGAGGGGTCTCTGTATGCACATCTTCTGGCGTTCTGCAGACCCTCGAGGCGCGTTTCGGATTTTGGTAGGAGGAGGTAGGTGCTACGGGTAACAGTATAGACTTCGGCGGCTGTCTCATCGTGTGATGGAAGCGTACATGTGTATGGATCAGGCGACGGATCTATTACTGCACCGCTGCTTCTTCTTCCGTGCACATCCCTATACAATTTCCGATGATGAAGCGCTGTTTCGGTGGTTGACCGTGGCAAACATGGGACTTCACTCGCAGTGAAACCCGGCAGCTTTGGGGAAGTAGGATACATGTGTCTCGGATCATGCAGATCGGAGATGATCACCCGCCTAGTTGAGGAAAGATAGGATAGACTGGTGACATGTAATGGCATGAATGAAGTAGACGGTAATGAATCAATTCGATCGAGGTGGGTAAAAGGAGGAGCAAAAGCTCAATTTTGTGTGTGCGCTCCAAATGGCCAAAAGAGAATTCATATTCAGTTTGTTCTCTCAGTTCTCCCTCGGGTGGGCTTGAACCACCAACCTCCTGATTGCTCTAGCCTGAGCTCTAACAGTCAAACGCGCTCTGCAAACTGTTAGTTAATGTTGGCGAAACAGACGATGTGGAGTTACGAACAGCCAATTGCGCCACGAGGGACATTGAAGCAGTAAGCTTCCATTGACACCCCATGGTTCTGTTTACATTATGTTCTTGCAAATCAGCCGCCGACACTACCACGACCATGCGAACCTTCACGCAGCCTCCAGACGCTTCGCCCACCGAATTGACTCTGGACCGCGAGGGGGAGCAGCCTTGTGATTTGAATCACCTTCCTTTGATGGGCTCGTGCAGATGGAAGTTGTGCTAATGCCCTGAATTCACACATGGTGGAGCCATAGGCCGCCAATACTACCGAGTGATTTCCGCCAAGTCATGACAGTGCACGCATGGTCAGGCAAGTGATGAGGCAGGTGGCCATGGTAATGACGAAGTAATATGTCATGCTAGTATCGCTTACAGCAGGGCCCCTCCATTACCCTCACGTCGTAGGCAATGCTTCTCGTCCCAACCCTGCGGCCGTGCAAGACGCCTTCAAGAATCGACTCAGAGCGCCGCGACGACCACGCCCAGACCCATGACGAGCCCGGCACCCATCCACGCCTTCGCCGTCTCGGCCGCGTTGACCGCGCTCACCGTCGCACTGGAAGAACCCGTCGTCGCCGACGCAGCACCACCGACCGTCGAGCCCGTGGTGCCCGCCGCAGAGGCATAGCTGGTCGCAGTCGAGGCGCCGGAGGCGGAGCCGTAGGACGCGGTGGTGCTGAGCAGGAGCGTGCTGTTGACCGCACCCGCCGCGGAGGTCGTGGCCACGACGATGGCGGTGCCGTTCACGGTCACCATGGGCGCGACGACCGTGCCGTTGCCCAGGGCGGAGGTCCAGGACGAGTACGCCGACGCGGACGCGAAGATGTACGCCGAGCTGGCCGACGCGGCCACGGACGAGAGGTTCGCGGCGACGGCGCTGGTGGCAGACGCCCACGGGCTGGAGTAGCTGGCGGGCAGGCCGGCCGGGGCGGAGGTGGTGTAGAGGTCCCAGCTGCTGGACGCGCTGTCGGACTCCAACGCGCTCCACGGCGCGCTGGTCGCGGTCGCGGTCGCGGTGGCCGTCGCCGAGGCCGTGGTGGAGGGTGCGGCGGTCGCGCTGGCCCAGGCGGTGTTGTAGGAGGGCGAGTAGGAGGCCGTGCCGGAGTAGGCGGCGCAGCCCGGGACGTCGGTCTTGGGCGGCGCGCGCCCGCCGCCGCAGTCGAGGAACTCGCAGATCTCACCCGTGCCGGGGACGTACCCTGGATCATGCGGTCAGTTCGGGCAAGGTCGATGGACTACTGCGGAGGGAGGACGTACAGGCGAGCGAAGCGCCAGCAGGGGAGGGGACGTCGGTCGAGGTGCAGCCGCTCAGGTCAGTCTTCGCAAGAGCCAGCGCAGCCAAAGCGGCCGGCAGCATGATGGAGGCGAAGGGAGGCATTATGTTGGTGTAGATTCGACTGCTCGTAAGAAGGTATTCGTGGTGATTCTCGTCTGCTGTGTAGTACGGAAGAAGCGAAAGGGATTGAGTCGTCGAAAGCGAGTGTGGTGGTCTTCGTGAAGTGCCTGAAGGAATAATCGGGAAGCGAAAGAGACGAAACGACCGGGCGAACTCCTTATACTTACGTGAGATCCTTCGCTGCAGCCTGACTGGGGGTGTCAGCCGAAATGAGACGCTGGCCTCGTATTCGGCGCTGGTTGGCGACACAAGCTCCGCCACGCGATATGCAGGTCTCCGGCGGCGGGCGGGCATTTCCGAGACGGCCGCTCCCGAGGTCGCCGCAGTGCTTGCATCCTCCATCACAAATATAGAATACCATACCTTGCCAGCCGTGCCAGTGGAAGCCGTCCGTCAGTCAAAATGCTCACCAAATACCTCATCGGCGTCACCACCGCTTTTTCCCCCTTCAACGCGCGCTCCGGCAAGATGATCCGCAACTTCCTCGCGCTGCTCCCACCCAACGCGCGGTCGAAGATGGCCATCGACGTGAAGATGTTCGGGCAGGCCGACGCCGACAAGCCCGCGGCGCTGAGCCTGAAGTTCAGTATGTCTTCCATCTCGGGGTTGTAGGCGGCTAGGTGGAGGAGAGACATGGCGCTGACGACGAGCCTGAATCAGAGGACGGCAAGGAGATGCAGCTCGATCTGGAGAAGATGAAGCTCAAGGACATCCAGGTGGAAGTGGACCGGCACTCACGCATCCTGCGGCGGAAGGACGAGCTGTCTGGCTGAATGCGCCCGCGTCGACGATACGGATTGAGATCATACGAGCCTCCGAGCCCATCGCAGACGGACCCCCGCAAATCACCGTAGACGATGGGATCACCGAGACGCGCAGCCGGCAAAGACAGCGCCGCGGGTGAGCGCCATCACGTACTCAGCAGCAAGTCACAACCGGGGTAGTAGAGACACCACCTTCGGGCGAGGATCAACGGCTGCCAGGCTTCCAAGTATGCCGAGACGAGGGAAGCCAAGACTTCTGAGACATATGAGACATGCCATGCGGTGTCTCAATCGACGCAAGGCAAGTCACGGAAGCTTGAGGGTGGAAAGTCTAGCGGTCACAGCGGTGTCGATCACGACTGCCGCCCAGTACATCGTGCCGGTCACAGCGCCGCCCTTGCATGCTCGGCTCAGAACTTATGGAGCTCAATGCGAGCAATCTGCGGGCCTTTACCCACCCCGTCATGAACATGCAGATACTCGAATACAATATCTCTGCGCACGATATGATCACCAGTCGTCCTCCGCAGCCAGCGGCCGCCCCATGCCAAGTCCCAACCCCGACGCATCATTCATGCCCGCAAAGCCGAGACCTGCGTGCGCAGGCCCGGCAGCCTCCCCGTTCCCCACGTCGCCATCGCCATTTCCACCAACCTCGCCATTCGTGTTCAGCCCCGAAGCGTCTTGATCTGCATCACCATCGCCCGCCTCATCTTCTACCCCATCTTGCCCCTCCGGCGCAAGCAGCAGCCCCGCAGACGCCTTCCCATCCCCCACCGCCGCGACCCCCTCAATCCCCTTCTCCCTTCGCAGCGCCGCGAACTTCTCCGCCGTCTCCCGCAGCGCCCGCTGGATCCGCGCCTCCTCCTCCGCCAGCCTGACCTTCTCCCGCTGCAGCGCGCTCATCTCCGCCAGCTTCCGTGCGCGCTGGGACTGCATCGCCGCGAGCTGCGTCCGGATCCGTGTGACCACGCCGTCGAGCGTAGGGATGGGCGAGATGATCGGCGGGGTCGTGGCGCGCTGGTTGGCGTAAGGGTCCAGGGGCGTGGCGTTGTGGACGACGGCGTAGGTCCCGTGGCGGGTCTGCTGCGCGTCGAAGGCTGCCATGCGCTCCCTCTCCGCGTCGTCCTCCGAGTCGTCAGATGCCTCGCCCTCCGCGGCCGCAATCTGCGCGGCCATCTCCTCCTTCTTGCGCCTGGCCGCCTCCTTCTCCGCTTTCCGGCCCAGCAGCACTTTCCCGTCCTCCGTAAAGTCCTCGAAGTTCTCCAGCAAGTCCTCGTCCTCCTTCACCAGCCGGCTTTCAGACTCGCCCCATTTCTCCTTGGCCTGCAGCACCAGCCGACCATGGATGTCCGTCTCCACATTCTCATCATCCTCCTCATCTGCGTTGAGCGAAGGATCGTCTGGATCAAGCGAGATGTACTCCTCCGCCGCGTGCTCCTTGGCCAGTCGTGCGCGCCGGGCCTTCTTCTCCGCGATCTCGGTCGCGGAGGGAATGGCGGAGGGGGTTGGCGAGGGCTGGTAGCGGGCAAGTGAGGCGCCGAATTTGGAGGACAGGTCCAGGGCGCGTGTCGCCTGCGAGACATCGTTGACGGAGCTCTCGGCGTCGGAGGCGGAGGCGAGTTCGAGGGGCGTGGTGGGGGTGCTAGCTTTCAGCTCGTTCAGGGCGGCGAGGTCGTAGGTAGGCTTGTCGTCGCCGTCCTCTGGGTCGTCGATTCGTCGCGGGGGGAGCTGGACGGCGCGCTTGGCGGCGTTGCGCTGAATCGCAGTCTTGGCGACATTGCTGCGCCGGGGAGTGATGACGCCAGTTGCCTCGCTGCTCTCATCGTCGTCGTCGGTAGCTGTGAAGGCTTTGCGCAGATTGGTGGACTTCCGAGGCTTGATGAGGGGTCGCTTGATCGCGGGTTCTGTCCATCGTCCGGTCAGCCATCGTCGAGAGCTGGCGAAGGGTGTCAGACAGGTGATATCGAGGCGGTAGATATGAGATGAACGTACCTGCTGTCCGCGGCGCATCTTCCCCCAGCTGATGCCCATCGTCATCTCGGCCAGCTGTGCGCGGCACCCGACGTGCAGAGGAGGTCTTCTTCATCTTGTCTCGGTCGTCTTCGCCTACCACTCTCGACCAAATGTTTGCTGAGGTATTGAATGCCGATGCGCAGGCATGAATCGCGAGAGTCTCTTGAATTGCAAGTCACGCGATCTCGCGATTGCCAAGGCGTGGAAGACGCGCTAACGTATCGCGTCGCGACCTCCACTCGTCACACCCGACAGCCACAGTATGCGCAGACCTATGTCCATTCGCATGGAGCTATCGCGATAGCAGCCTGATAGACGCCGAACGCGATGCCTCCGTTGATGCGACAAGCTCCCAGACTCCTTCGAACGGTCGAAGGCAAGCCACACGCTAGCAGCGAGGACCACGAGGACGGCAGTCTACCCAATGGCGCGGCTCCGCGATTCCAGCTGCTCACGCCAGCATCCTCGACGAACAGCACGCATAGCGCCGAACAAGTCTTCCGAAGACCTTCAAAAGACGTGGCAACGGATGACGATCCGCTGAGCAGCGCGGATGAGAAGGACTCGGGGCGGACGTTCAAGTACCCGGATGGCAGACCTTCTCCCGCTACAAAGCATGACACCATCCCGATATTTCAGAAGGACCACAGTCCACAGTTCGATGGTCCTGGCAGCCAGAACTCTGCCCCCATGGCAGAGTTCAAGCCAGCCGACGTCCGACGACCCCAGACAAGAGGCGCCCCGCCCACGCACACGTTCCGCCAAGCTGGCGTGGCAAGTCCTCCACCCAGCTCAGGCAGCAAGCGCAGCCTGGCTGCAATGGATGAAGAGGACAG